CACGGTCTCTTCTCCAGCTTGCACCCCCCCACCCCACTCCCCCCCAGCCCATTTTTCTCCGGAGCCATGAAGCTGATCCTGGTGCGCAAATTCCGCGTCCTCATCCTGCTGGTCTTCCTGGTGGCGTGCACTCTGCACATCCTCGTCGATCTCTTGCCCAAGCTGGAGAAGCGAGCCGCGGGGGCCGAGGCCGGGGCGGCGGCGGACGCTAGTCTGGGCTGCTCCTGCTCGCACACCGCCGCCGCCCAGCCGGGCCAAGAGCGTGGCGGCCGGCCCAAGGAGGCTCCGCCGCCGCCGCCGTCTTCCCTGGAGCCGGAGCCTCAACCGCCGCCGGGGGCGGCTGCAGCAGCTCGGGAGGAGCCCGACGCCGGCGCCTCGGAGGCGGCCGCTGCAGCGGCCCCGGGCTGGCCTAGCAAGCACACGCTGCGCCTCTTGCAGGATTTCAGCAGCGAGCCCAGCTCCAACCTCAGCTCGCGCTCCGGGGAGAAAAGGCCGGGCCACGCCGAGCAGAAGCAGCCGCCGCCGCAGCAGCAGCAACAGCAACCGCCGCCACCGTCGCCGCTTCGAGCCTTCAGCGCCAGTCCGGAGCTCGGCGCGTTCCGCGCGAAAGGGAAAACGAGAGTCGTAGGCGCCGGCTTGCAGGACGAGCCCCACTCGCCGCCGTTGCTGCCGGCTTTCCGCGAGGAGGCAGAGGAAGGGGCGGCGGGGCCCGCTGGCTCTCGCCTGGCCGCCCTCTTCGCCCACCCGCTCTACCAGCTGGCCGCCCCGCCGCTGGACGAGGCCGACCTGCTGTTCAACGTCAACAGCGACCTCCGATTCAACCCCAAGGCGGCGGAGAATCCCGAGTGGTGAGTGAGGAAGGGAGGGCTGGGGTGGGGTGGGGTGGGGTGGGGGGCAGAGAGACAAGGTTGGGGGAGAGAGGGAAGGAGGAGGAGGAGGAAGAAGATGGGGGGGGTTATATAGCTGGCATGGCATCCGGGGTTAGGTTTTGGGTTCACACGACCGGTTGAACCTCGGGAGGGGAAGGGGGTGTTTGTAGGGCTTGCGTAAGCCAGAGTAGAGAATCCCGGGCGGTGGAGAGCAGGCTTGAGGGTGCCCCTTCGTCCCCAGGTGTTCTGAACCCTTGACCAGGTGGTAACTTGTGAATGCGAGCTATCCGGTAACTTGTGAATGAATGCACGCTATCCGGGGCTTTTAATGAAGGAGATTTAACTTGTGAATGAATGCAAGCTATCCGGGGCTTTTAATGAAGGAGATTTATTTGTAACTCAGGGTTGAAATGAGGGGGCCTTGGGGTGCTCTGAGCTCAGGGAGCAACAAGGACCCCCTTATCGGGGTTTTGTTCCCCAAGGCTGAAGGTGCGAAGTGAGACAGCTGGTCAAGCGGACTTTAAGGTGGGATGGGAACCCAGAAAATTGTGGCTTGCCCACCAAGATGGAGGCTGTTGTGTGTGAAGTCAAGCCATGTGGTTGATCAGCCAGGGTTTTACAGGGTTAACCCAAATGGGTGGCTGTTTGCCTTCTACCAGTCTCCACACCATGATGGGTCAGTCCCCTTAGGGCCCTGCAGGAACCCAACCTCAACATATCTAGTTACCTAGTTATGTCTTTGGGAGGTCCACAACTCACTGAAATGGATTCACTAAATCATGATCTTTGGCCTTTTGAGGGATGTCCGAGCCAGGTCCTAACCTTAAAGCCAAGTTTAGCTCAAGTGTGGGAGCAGGAAGCCTCCCCCACCCACCCACTCACCCACTTCTCCTTCCCCGCATCGTGGAGATGTTCCTTCTGAAGGATGAAGCATGGCTGATGTTGAATGGCTGACACTGGTGCTGGGTGGGCTAGTCTGCCTTGAAAAACCACAAATGCAGAGTAATTGGCTTTGAGTACTCTCCCACTGGCCGGGTGGATCATCAAATTGGAATGTTCCTCTTTTTCTACCTCTCCTTTTTCCCTCCTCCTGGGGAGAAAGGGAGGCATGGATGAGCTGACACCCCCCCCTTTAAAAAAAAAAAAGGCCCTTTTGAGAACCAGAGGAGAAAAAGATGATAAGGAAACAGCTTGCTTCTCTCCTCTTCCTGCTGCATTTAAGATTAAAAAATAAATAAATAGAAGCTTTGCCTGGATGGATCATTCTCCCCCACCCCAAAGGGTGGTGGTGGGGGGTTGCTTTATACAGGAGAAAGCTGGCTGGATTCTCAGCTCTTGTTCCCCCCCCCCCATTGAAAGAGAGAGAGAAGATTGCTTCGTATTGTTTGACACCTCCCTCCCCATACAGACCCTTTGCAAGCAATAGGAGGGGGGGGGATTTCAGAATATTCTCTATCTACTTTCAGGCAATGTGTCCCCGAATCTTTTTTTTTAAAAAAAAATCTGAAAATTTTGTGTGTGTGTGGGTCATTAGGTTCGCCCCCACCTCTCAATTGTGGACCTTGATTGAGATTAAGCTAACCCTGATTGATGTTTGCTCCCATTCTGCTTCTCTTTCTGCTTTTGACTTTAAAAAATATTGAAAGACTCAAGCACGCCCTTGTCCAAAATTAAAAAGAAGACTCTATTGTGGCTGGTGGGCCTCGCCTCCATCAAAGGCTGTGTCCCTTTCTTGATCTTGCATTAGGTGGCTCTGCCAAAAACAGTATTTGGAAATATAATCAGCTCTTTTGCATTGATATATAAGAGAGAAGATATTTCTCTCTTCCTCTCTCTCCCTCTCCCTTCCTCCCTCCCTCCCTCTCTTCCTCCCTCCCTCTTTCTCTCTTTCTCTCTCCCTCTCCCTCCCTCTCCCTCTATCTCTCTATCTACATGTATATTTGTATATCTCCCTCTCCCTTCCTTCCTCTCTCTCTCCCTTTTCCTCCCTCCCTCTTTCTCTCTCCCTCTCTCCCTCTCTCCCTCCCTCCCTCTTGGTATCTTCCAGATTGTAAACCCCACCATCCTCAGCCAAGCTGTCCAAGGAATATAGACATGATCATCTGGTCATTGGGAAAGTGCCACCTTAGGAAGACAAGGGAAAAAAATTGGTATTGTTGAATAGGACATTATCCAGGAAGAATGTGGAAAAGACTGTTAGAGTGGTTAGTTTTATTTTAAGGCAGCTGGCGAAGCGAATTCACGGAAAGAAGGGAAAAAGCTAGTGTGTTCTGATAGGTGAAAAGAACTGGATTGAAATCAAGGAGAAGTTCATTTTATTAGCCTGCCTTCATCCATGTGAGCTCACTGGCTGACTTGGGGCTGATCCATCTCCCAAGCATCCCGGCAGGATGGTTGTGGGATAAAATAGGAAGCAGGACAATGGATGAAATTGACCGCTGAAATTGACGAATGAAATTGACTAATAGGGGAAGAAAAAAAGAAAGATGAACCCCAGGAAGAAAAGGAAGAAAGAGCTTGCCCCTCCCACCTCTGCAAAGATAGAGCTATTGTAGACCAGGCAAGACATTTAATTCCTAGAAGAGGTAAACATTCTGGTCTTTTTGCTAAACCTTCCATCCCAAAAGCAGGAATAAAAAAACAACAACATACCAAAGTATTTCTTTTTAGCCCATCCTAGGTCTCTCTTACGATCATTGTGGTTGTATAATCTCCACCCCATCCTTTCTAAAATTACAAGCATCTCATTAAATGACCATGGTTCTTATGACAGGATCTTGCTGACGTCACCTTCCAAGATAAAAGGGACGTTGCGGGAGAGACGGAAAAAAAAACCCAACCAGTCTTTTTATGACTTTTCTTATTTTCTCCCAAGAGTTCCATAAAAACGTCAGCATTCCCGATCTGAAGGTATAATCAACAAATATGACTTCTTAAAAATATCTGGTGAGCCTCTGGAGGTCAATGTGGAGATATGTTGTGTTCAGTTAGAGCCGGGATCGCTGTGCTGTGTGATTCCGGCCTTTGTGACTTGTAAACAACACTTTTGATGTTGTTTGAACTCAGCCAGCTGTGGTTTATTCAAACATGGTTGAACTATCTGCGCTCCTATTAAAGACAGACAATGAGAGTTGTCTACATACCCCATAAGGCAGCATCCAGTAGTCCTTAACTGAGCTTGGAAAGGAAATCAAGGCTGGATATTCTTAATTCCCAGATGGATCCCTAGGATATCTCTGGACTGTAAACTAACTAGAAGATTGAAAATCATTTTTTAATATTAGCAAGAAAAATCACTCGGACGTATCTGTGACCTTCTCAGCAGTTGAGTCCAACTTGAAGTCTTGACACAAGGACTGAGTTGCCTCTTTCCATTTATGGCTGGTTGATTTTTTTTTAGGTGTTTTGGGGTTCAAAGGCACCTCAGGTGTGATTGTTCATCCGAGGCTGCCCTCTTCCTTCAGTAACATTAATAACAACAGGATTGTAGAAATCCATTTCTCCTCCTTGCTGACTGAGGGTCAACCGTCTCTTATTATTTATGAATGGAAATGCATAGCTTGCCTTTTGAATTAGAGGGCTCACCAGAGCAGCCTGCAAAACATCAACATCTCAGTGCTTAAAATATTTAAATGCTTTTCCTCCCCAACTACGGGGTGGGGAGGGGAAGCAAAAAAACAAAACAAGAAAAAAAGGCCAAAGAAAGAACCGTCTTCTTGATCTCTATCTTGGCCCGGAAAGTTCATTCATTCATAAAAGTGGAGAATCTTTTTGTCTTGGGTCAGCAACCAAGCTGTTCTTTTTCCAGGCTTTGTTTGTTTGTTTGTTTTTCGGTCCAATGTCCTCAATGTTGACTTTGGAAAAGAGTGAAATAAATCTGAGAAAAAGAGAGAAAATGCCCTCTTTTAAAACTTTTCAACCAGTCAAACTTCGTGCTAGTCATCCCAACCACCCCAGGTGGACCTCTGGAATCACCGTGGTTTTGTAAACCTCAGAACTGGGATTGAAATATATTTCTCTTGGTCTTTTCTTCCCAGCGTGGCCCACCCAGTGTTGTTTGATGATGGATCTCATGTTCTTCAGCTAGCATGAAGAAATAGTGTTGGTGGATCAGCGACTCAGACAAATGGCTGTCCAGTCTCTTCTTTAAAACTTCCAGTGTTGGAGCATTCACCGCTTCTGGAGGCAGGTTGTTCCACTGGTTAATTGTTCTAACTGTCAGGAAGTTTCTCCTTAGTTCTAGGTTGCTTCTCTCTTTGGTTAGTTTCCATCCGTTGCTTCTTGTCCTGCCTTCAGGCGCTTTGGAGAATAGCTTGACTCCCTCTTCTTTGGG